TATATATATAATAAATAATAGTCTAGTATAATTGTTTTGAATCAGTTTTTAGTTTATCGTGCTTTTGGACCTCCATCCTGAGTGAAATCTGTTTTGATTTGTACCAGACACAGATTCAGAAGAGGACGATTCCCTGAAGGATGGCTGGCCTCCCAGCTCCATGTTGGGGAGAACAGGGTCACGTCCACAGCTCCTCGGCCTGTGCAGCACTCCATCCAAGAAAAAGCGCTCATCATCCAAGAGAGCCTCTTCATCTTCGTCTTCATCACTCAAGTCCAAGCAGGCGGCCAAAGAGAGGAAACATAAGCACTTTGCTTTATTGCTACAGGAGGCAGGAGTCAGCTCCTCTGAGGACTCATTTGACCAAGGTTAATAAAGCATACCTCACTATGCACAGAATCGAGAAGGCAGCCTCTCGGTTTTAGTTTTTTTTATTTTTGGTCTGTCTTGTATTTTTAACCATGACCATTGGTCATGATGACATTTTTCCTGAGAAGCCGTTTTAAGATGCTTGCATCAGAATTTGCTACCTCACATCCAGTATGTAATATAATCGGCTCTTGTTAGAGTCACTTCGAAATGGTTTTACTTTTTATATGGGAATGTCTTGCCATTGTGCATTAAAATGTGTGTGGCTGTGGAAAGTGTTCTTTATTGTATTGCCGTTTGGTACCCAAGCTTTATTAAACATGCTGATTTCATTTTTACTGAAAGTAAAGTAATGCAGTGTTCTCTGTCTCTTTTGCTACATCTCTTGCTGTAGAGTGTTAGTGTGCAACGCTCCACACTCCTGGTTTCCTCTGTTGTTCAAATATCCCTTTCATCAGTGAAGAGCTGTCACAAGGAGATCTTTGCATAAATTCAGCGCTCATGAGATTCATTAGGCCAAATGACTTTGAGCAGCATAACTAACTTCTTGTTAGGTTCTTCAAAGAGATCAGATATTTAACAAATGAGAAACTGTTGAATTCAGATAGGATGGATGTTGGCTAATGTTTTCTACATTTAATAATAATATTGTATACATTTTAATTAGTCCTATAAACTAACGTGAAAGCACTGGTAGTAGAGCATACTACTACATTATAACTACATTTAAGTCACTAAATCAACATGCACGCAACCAGAATTTGTAGAACTTTAAAGCTTAACCTGCAATCATAAATCTTGAACTGTTCCAAGAAGTGTTTTCCACTATGGTAAGTGTGTGAACAGGGATATTTGGAAAATAGGGAGCACTCTGATTTACTAAAAAATGAATAACCTAGCTTCTCTAGACTGCTCGCTCTCTCCCTGCAGCTGCTTGGCCACCCCTCCACCTCTGACCCCTTCTCCTACCCATGATGCTTTTGAATGTCTATCGGTCTGTGCGTTTGCTTGTCCTGCTGCAACAAAATAAGAAGCAAAGGGCTTGTCTGGGAGTTGGGCAGCCAGCTGTTCAGCGTGAGGTCACTATCCATGTCACCTGAGCCTTGAGCATTGTCCTGTAAGTAGGCCACCACCCTCTTTTGCTGTGACTTCTCAATAATTTCTACTAATTCGTGCTTACACTGTTACAGAACCAAAACACAAACAAACAAACAAAAAAGACTGGATAACAAACTAGGTGTTAAAAATACCTTTGTAACATGCTCACCTCCTGTTATATGCCTTCAAGCCATGGTTATGTTTGTATTTGGTGGAAAAAGTTTTTTATATATATAGTTTAGGAGACTGTGATACATTTTTCCAGGATTCTTTGATGAATAGAAAGTTCAAAAGAACGGCATTTACTTGAAATAGAGCTTTTTTGTAACATTACAAATGTCTGTACTGTCACTTTTGGTCAATTTAAGCATCCTTGATTAATAAAAGTATTATGCATTAGTCAAAAAATATCTTACTGACCACAAACAGTGTACAATGGGATATTCAGCATGGGTCACAAAATGTGCACTTGGATTG